AGTGTTTAAAAGAAATCGAGTTACAGTGCAAAATTATATTTCAAGACACATGATCCTAATGCACATCATTCATTTTGTTGTGGCAAAAGTTAAATGTCTTGTGCATAGTAAAATAAGCAATCAAAAATATTTGTTCACATTTATTGTTCAAGTTTACATATTTCCTTTTTTTGTTTGTTTGTTTTTAAACATCTATATACAAATAAAATGGGTGTGCTCTCAGTTTCAGCCGATTTAGTGGAGTGAGGGGAGAAGTGCTACTGGAATGTAGGAAACTCAGTGGAAGGCAGAATGGAATTTTTTACCAATGTTCCACAGATTCAAGAAATAAAGAATTCCATTCCAGCTAGCTGTTCTTTTATTAAAAGCACCTATTGTTTGCTTTTTTTTATCTTACGTTAGAAAATACAATTTACGAAGATCTAGAGCTACTGCACACCAAGTAGAATAAAAAATAACTAAGTATTTATATTAAAATAAAGTGTTTAACCACAAAAAAAGCAGTAATAAAATACAGTTTCCTAATTTACATTCTGCATCCAAAGGATGAATAACAACTCACTAATAAATAATATTTATATAAATATTTTATGTCTGGATTTTTTTAAAAGGCAATAGCCTGACGCAACTGCAGAAAAACCTACCATGGTAGCAGTCTGATTTACTCTCCCTTCTCCCTCCCCCCAAATGATTACAGCGATTCTTAGTTTAATAATACGAAGGTATCTTGCTGCAAGACAGCTGTGTGCTCCACACATTTTTAAGTGGCAGAGAGGTGGTTGTTTTAGTAAGTACTGTACAAAGTGACGTGTAAAAGCAGTGAAGCGCCAACTTCTTCTAGAAAATGTTTCTGTTTCGTTTCTGCTCTGTAGTTTGACACATACGTACAGTCTGAAACATGGTTTTAAAATTTAAAGTGTAAGAATACTCTTGGAGTATTGGGGTTTTTTTCCATGCAGTTTGAACAGATGGGCAGTTTTTTGATTCTTTCACGGCACAGTGGAGCTGGTAACAGCAGAGAGAGTAGTTTCATGTGAATAAAGCTTGTTTCACTGTGGTTACATCTAGCAATGCTTGAACTGTTATGCTCACTTTTACCAAGCCCTTTTCTTCTAGGATGTGATGTGGTAGGCAGAGCTTTTCCTAGAAAAAAAAACAACAGAGGAGTAAAGATTAGGATACTCAATACGTACTGCAAACCCTTGCTTTACGTGATCACATTTGGAACACAAAGCCCAGCAAGCAGGAACCATTTCCTATTTTTAATTAAAAAGAACTTCCTATGATTTTGACAGAAAGTTTCTGATTTTGCTTTCATTACACCTATGAGTCAGTGAGAGATCTGCTATATTCTGGGCCTCACAAACCAACCTGTTCTGTGGTCATTACAGCATGTAAACACATGAACTAAGGCGAGGGCCAGCAAGCACACATCGAACTTTCGCCTACAACGCAAGATAACATAGCATTCGCCTTGTTACTACATGTGTGTGAGTCTGGGGACAGAAGGCAGGTTCTGTCAAAAAACATTCTACCACTGGGCTCTAGAGAGGTAGGGCTTGGTCTCAGGATATGCACCTTGAAAGCTATGCACTAGTATTTACAGAAAAGTGTGTGCAATGCTGTGCATTCAATGGGCGAAGTGTTTCATTCCAAGTTACCACTGTATTAGAAATATCCAGGAATCAACTTTATTCACCATAAGGACACAGCAATCATAGCCAGGATGAAACCTACTGGTTGTCCACAGAAGCTGTTATACCAGACGATAGTCAAGCAGTAAATACTGTATCTCCTACAAGGAACAAGACACTCACCAGTGAATAATTAAAGAAAGCCTTGCTTAGAGAGGCAGTCTTGAGTCATGACTGGCCCTCTCTTTAAAAAGTTGTTTTTCTTAATGTAAGTGGGTATTCTTGTTAATGAAATCAATGAAATTATGAAATCAGGCAGCAGGTTTATAATAAATAAATAAATGGAAAAGCTAGACTGCATCACATAAACCATAATCACAACCGTGACACTCATTGCCACAACATGAAAGCCAAAAGCATAAGTGGGATGACAAAATATACAGATAGATAAAACCCCAAACAAGTGTTAAACACAAACACATGGAAACAGTGTCTGCTCAACTGCATGTCAGATTGCTTTAAGCTTGAAAAACTTTAAGTTGAAACTTTAAGCTGAAAAACTTGAAAAAATCATCTACATGATCTAACCTTCTGCTCCTTTCCTACGCATCCATACATGACCATCAGCAGACGTGGGATACCGATTTTTTGGAAAGAGACAGTTGTTCTGATATTCTCACTATTGCTATTCTCACTATTAGCTATTCAATAAACTTTTAGCTTTTAAAATTACTGATGCATTTCAAATCCTATTTTAATTAATTGCTTGTCTTCTACTGAATATTATTCTTGCTTCTGTAATGTTAACTAAGGCTCCCTTATTTTATTTTTATACAATTCATGTCCTTTTCCCACACTTCCTCATACTGATTATTTGTTCAATTTAAATATCACTAATCTTTTCAACCTCTCTTCTCATTACACATTTTTTCAGCTCTAGTCCCTTCCCTGACTCCTAGGACTCTTAAAACTAAATATAATACATGAAATGATTGAACTCGGATGCAAAAGTACAATTCATACAGTTTGTACTATGTTATGCACCTATGATTAATAGTTTTTGTCTGCTTCCATTGTTGTCCAGTCCTTGCTCAGGGAAATTTCCCTCAGTGGGCCACAACTCCATCAAAAAAGTACCAGTATTAAACAGCTGTTGCACTGCTTCTGATATTTATGACTTTCTTTCATTAATGATTATTTCCTTTATCCATAACCAACATTCAGCTTGCTTAAATTTTTGGTGAAGTTCTTCACACCCCACTCCAGCCTCAATGGGAGAAAAAAACTTTCCTATTAACTATGAAACCTAAAAACGAGAGACAGTCAGACTTCATTCAAAATCATGGCATCTGATACTGGTAACTGTAATTTATCTATATTCTATTTACATTTTACTACTTGTTTTAATATTTTATGTTTGAGGGTTTTTTTATGACCCAAGAAACAACTTTAAACAGATTGTCTCCAAGGAACTTGGCTGAGTAGGTCTGCAGGAGATGGACAACACACATTTCCCCATAGGGAAGATGCTCTAACATTCTGGTGATCTGCTAATGCTGTGTTCCCACTTCAATTGAGTTTGTGGATTCAGATTCGCATTGACCAAACAGTTGTGGCAAATGCCTCCTGCTCCTGTCTGCCATCCTGTCACTCTCTGCTGCAGCTACTTGCCCAGGCAGCACAAGGAACTACCCCCATCTTGCAGCCATTCCAGGTCATCACTCGCATTTCCATTTCAAACCTGCCCTAAATTGCCTATTAAGTTAAGACACTGAGTTCTGCAGTTCATTCTTGTTTGTTCTTCTGACTGAAATATTGACCTGCAAGCTGTCAGAGATGGTTCTCCCCAACTTTTATTCCTCTGTAAAAAAAGTACCTTTTCAAGAGAAATATATAAATATATTTTAGGATACAAACTCCTAAACTGATACCTGGTTAGCACTGGAGAACCTACAAGAGAAGGTAGAGACAGCAATATGAAATAAAAAGGGGGGAAAAAACCCTCCAAATATTTCTACTTCAGATGTGTGATTTCTACTAGACATGTTGCCAATCTAATGTCTTGGGACATAGTTCATATAAAAATCTACAATTCTCCAACTTGGATAATTAAAAAAAAAAAACCAACCTATTTGAGAATGCAAATCAGACACCTGAAGTGAAATGTTATTCTTTCTACTCTCTTCTACTTCTTTTCATTGACCTTGCACAGTCGAGTCTTGTTCCACAGATCTGGTGGCCCTTAGCATGCCAATATTTCATTAGTCTTCCATGCTAGACAAAAGGCATTAAATAATAAAGCCTACTGAATCCAATATCTGAAAACTGAGGGATTAGTAATGCAAGGCTGAAGGGTAGGGACTGAATCCAAAAATCTAGCCCTGAAACAACCTACCTTGCTAGATATTTATGCTTGAAAATATTATACATTTTTCTGTTGAAGCCAGATTTGCTTAAAACACCACAGTTAAGGATGCTTGCCTTATAAAAAATTCTAAGCTCACCATTTTTGTGTCACCTTCTAGCACTTAGAGAACTTTTCTGTCATGCCCTCTTGCTAGGAATTTTGTAGTTTGTTTATAAGCACATTTTCACTAAAATCATAAAGGAATGCATGCACTATTTCATATAAAACCTCCATGCAATAAGATTTTTCACTTTTAAAAGACAACGCATTATCTAATTCTTTTAAATACAGTAATTTAGTTTGTATAAAGCAACCTGTCTCCCACTGCTGTATTTACAAGATACATATTCCCATTAGGAAAGCTGTTCTAGGAGCTCTGTAAAAAAATAGGACTCTGTTCTAGGAGTGAGAAGTTTCCCAGCATGTAACATTTTATACTACACATCATTCTTCGCCAGTGCTTGAAACATATAATTGACAGCCTTCTCTTATGAAGCAGGTGGAACTTGGCTAATGTTTTGTAACTCTGCAGCCAAACACGTGGCTATGATGAACTTTCCAAACTTGACAATGAGACGGGACACCATCTTCTAAATACAACAAACTTCATCTTAACGTGTCACAAATCAATTCTCTTATCTAAGGAGTCCTTCTGCTGTGCCTTTTGCAACCGGACGTGTCTATCTCGTATTGGCCTTTTTAGCCACCAACAAACGTGGGTAGAGCCCTTCCCAAATCTTCGTTCGCGAAGCCCAGCCATGATCTAAGCCCTAACCGCTATCTTCAAAACTTTGTAAATGGCTTTCATCAATCCTGCCTCACATACTTTTATGAATCATATATTTACTTCTCAGAATAAGAAAAATCGGATCCTGCCAAGGATGGAATCCAGAGCACACCAATAATAACTCAGCACAAGAGCAGTTACTTTGGGCCAAGATCCCAGGTGTCTCTGTACTCAGGTTCAGCCATTGTCCCTGCAGCACAGTCCATTTTCCATGCTCTGCCTCACTCTCTAATCCACTAAAACTGCATTCTGGAAACCACTGACAGCAGAGCTGTGAAACTGCAAGCCAAAAAGATTTCAAAACTTTTCTTAAATCTTGGCATTTTGAGGCAATATGCCTGACCAAGCAAGAGGAGAACTCATCCATGATTCAGCTGTACCCACTTCTCTCAATCTTTGATATTTGTCCCTTTTACAATAGATTCAGATCCATAACACTTCAATACAGAAGTATGTCTTGTCTCTCTAAAAACATCCCTCTTGAAACCATTACTGAACAAACCCCAGAAAAAAAGACAGAAGAACTGGCTATTAATTCTCAAGACCAGCCTAAAAGTCTTTTAGAACAATTGTGGTGGAAAGGGCTGCCACTCCACTCATACCAGCACAAATATCTCTCTTCTCTACCTACTATAAAAATGAAGTTCTAATATATTTTTAATTTTTTTTTCTTCCTAAGAAAACAAAGGAACTTATATACTTTTTGCAAGCAAACCACTTTCTACAGACACATAGCCATTTTGAATGGCTGAATTTTCAAACTCAGCACGAAGCAAAAGAACAAACCCCTCCTGATGGCAAAAATATTAAAAAGTGCACAAAAAGGAGGTAGCAGCCAGGAGGTTGAATCACAAAGCAACACAAAGAGACAGTACAACAGGTGTATCCACTAACATACACGCGTGCATGTGCTTGCCAGAGCAAGTTTCTAATCCTGGAACAAAATGTATGAATTAGACAGCGCAGAAAAAAGCCAGGAATACACAAGGACACTAATCCCACAAGGATACGTGACACACTCCACAGATACATCTATTTTTGTCATGACTTCGAAGTCATGACAACTGTTAAAATTAGTTTATGGTAGGGCAAGCACCTTGGCGATTCAGATACAGTAAGTATTTATCAAAAAAGACATTGCTGCCATAATATCAGATGGGCAAGTAGTAAAATGACCACATGATAATAACAGCAGGGCCCAACTGTATTTGTCAGTAAAAATAAAGAGAAATGGTATTCTACAATTTGGCAACATCTTTCTTCCCTGTATTTGTAGAATATATGATTTCAGATCTACAGGGGAAAAATAAAATAC